TAGTTTATATCAGTTTGGGTTGAAGGTTTGGGATTTGGAAAAAATACAAAAAGATTTGGGAAGAATCAGGAGCTGTTATAGTCATATTTGTCATCTTTATTCACGAGATAAAAGTGTAAATAAACCTAATGAAGTTCTTTCACACCCAAACTTTATATTTACACACTAGAATCCAGTCATATAGGCAGGGAAACAAAAAACAACACAAAACTGTCTGGCACATTGTTTAGATAACAAGTCGAAAGGAAAACAAAAAGTACTCCAAGTGAACTTCTTCTCTTTTTCCTGTGAGATGTAATTAATGTTGTTTACTCTGGAAGTGAGTCAACTTTTATCGCTGAATTCTTTCTACTGACTATGAATTTGTTTGAGTGTAATTAACAGCACATATCCTGAGTATACAGGATATGTTTTATTAATTTCATTTGGTAGGGCACTGATCTGGATGCTTCTGTTGTTACAATATAGCCTTCTGTGACATTAAAGAGGTCACCTGATTCTATTAGCACAGCACTGTTGTATGTCATTGTTGTAAGGTAAAACTTTGTCACAGGCTGGACTGCAGACTGTGTGGAGGTTGTGATGTGGACCCAAAAGCAGACAACGCAAAGACTGAACGTAACAAAAAGCGAGCCTTTATTAGGACTGATTCAAGACATAAACCAAACGAGAAAATAAACTAGGCAAGAGCTGATCATAAAACCTAAACTGGGAAAACTAAGACATGGAAATATTTGGATAACTTGAAGACATGGAAACACAAAGGACGGTTAACAGAAAGCCTGAAAAAGAACCAATTACAACTCACACCATAAATCTTAAGAGGAAACACACGGGGAACACAGCTGAGGCGGATAAACATAATGACACAGGACGAAGCTAAACTGAACACACTGAACACAGGACGCGACACTGTCAAAGTAAAACAGGAAACACTAAGACGGAGACAAGAATACGCGGCTTGACACGAGGCTGGGAGGAAGGAATGCACAAGGGTGAGACAAAGGGAGGAGACACAAAGAGTGAAATACAGAAAAATTAAAATGAGATATGAAAGGAGAGGGGAGGGGACAGGACAGGCTGGAAAAAACATACACAAAGCACATGACAGACAGAGGAGACATGGAATAAAACACAAGGAGGGAAACATGTAAACAGAAAAGGGGGATCAGGCACATCGACAACAGAAATAGAAGCAAAACCACGACTAAACTCAGTGCTAAATAACAGAAAACTACAACACTTTAACCTCTGGATGTAATGCAGACTAAATCTTTATTAACGTTGCTGCTTTTTTAACTTGATGCTGATCTTATTTTCATTGCCATTCAGTGTCTTTCCCATTACACACAAACTTTGTTTTCTTAGTTTGTGGACAGAACACAAGTCTTCTGATTGATAGTTAACCTTTACTCCTGTCTCAGCATTTTAGACAGATTGTTCTTGACAGTATTTATGGTTAATATTATAAATTAAACACAAAAAAACTACAGCTGTGAAAATATGTATGTGAAAGTATTTCTGTAGGTTGTCTGAAAGTGCGAGTGTAACGTGTATAACAGCAGTCTTGTCACAATGTTCGTCTGTTTCAGGCGTAGGAAAATATGTATACGTCAAACTTTTTAATAATTATGCAATGCAAATTGTTTAAAGCAAACATTATTTAAACAGTCGGCAAAAGTTAACCAAGAATTTTGTCTAAATTCTAAATAATGGAGCTAAATTAAGTTTAAGCACAGTCAGCTTTCTTTTGTTTATCTGCTTCAAATGTTAAAGTAATTTTAATGAAATTAGGTAATACTGTAATTTAAAAATTTAAATGTATGTGTTAAAAAAACAAACCTATTTATTTAGAAGGTTATTATTTGGATGCACCCATTTCAGGTCCTTTTGTAAAACTAAAAGCCTTCCTTACACCAGTGAATGAATGCTGTGGTCTTTGTTATTGTCATTTATTTCTGTCTGTAACAGACAGATGCCCCATCCTACTACAACACTTGACACAATTTCACTGTACAGCTGGGTCTTTTACCTCAGCTGTTTTCTGGTTTACAAAGTAGAATCACATAATCAACAGCTGCATGTTTTAACTATTAGGTAACTATTTGTATACAGTATGTCATTGTCACCACTGCATTTTCTCCCCCTTATTTGGCTCTGAATATCAGGGGCGGTCTTTGCAGAGATGCCCAGAGCACCTCCAGCTCATTCAAGGAGACCAGTTCCCAAACCAAACAAGAGGTATAATCTTTCCAGCATGTCAGGGGTCTGCTCTGTGGGCTCTTCCTGGTAGGACATGCCCCTGAATGTCTCACCTGGGTGACGATGAGGGGGCACTTGTCAGATGCTCAGACCACATCAACTAGCTCCTTTCGATGTGGAGCCGGAACAGCTCTACCCTGAGCTCCTCCCAAATGACTGAACTCATCATCCTCTCAGATGAGGAGGAAGTTCATTTTCACTGCTTGCACCTAAGACCTCATGTGACCATAGGTCATCAATAGCTGTCTGCCACACCACTGACACTCTACTGTTCCTGTCTATCAGTGTCAGCTCCACTCTCACTTCACTCATGAACAAGACCCAGATAATCCCAAACTCCTCCATTTGGACCATCAACTCCTCCCAGAGTGGGCAAGCCAGCCTTTTTCAACCACTCTGCAAATCATCCTAGTGCACGCTGGATGTCACCTCCTGATGAGGTCAGAAGAACCACATAGTCTGACAAGTCTGATCCTCCCAGAGACCATCTGCCACTTTGCTGCAACTGGACACGTATGAACAGAATCAGTGACAAAAAAAGAACTCTCACAAAAAGCAGGTCTGACGTACTGCCAGCAATGAAAACCAAGCTGTCACTATAGATGGACAAGGACCAAATGGCCCATAATAATTGGCTATTCATCTCAATTTAACCCTACCCCCTTCCTGAAGAAGTTGGCCACAATCCCAGTCGATCAATTCAGAGACACTGTCCTCAGCCTCCAAGCGAAGTTACAGTGTTAAGTAAGACAGCCCTGCAACATCTAGGACCTTAAGCATAGTTTATGGTCCTGCAAATGCGTCCATCTAACATACATTCGCATTTGGATAGGGGGGGAGGTTTTCAGCCACCCTAGACATGCTCCCATGTAGTCTTCCAAAGTACTAAGTGCGTGTTGCTGGAAGCAGATAACCTGTGCATCTGCCAAATGCTACATTCAGGGGCATGTCCTACCAGGAAGAGTCCACAGGGCCTACTTGGTTAAAACAGCAGATTTCAACAGGAATGGGAGGAGGACAAAAGAAATTTCAAAGATCAACATATGCTGTTTTAGACCAGCAACTGGTCCACAGGCCGGTTGTACCACATACTTTGCATGACTCAGATGCAGGCAGATGATCCATTCTCCGTCTGCCAGCAGGCTGAGTAATACTACCTCTGCTGGGCCACAAATTCCACTCCAAGGGACTCACTGTGAATTTTTACTGCAGTCCTAAGCTGGATAGGACTACTTTTTCATCTCGATGGCTCTCTTCACCACCAGTGTACATCTGAACCTTCTGGTTCTGGGGTTAATACCATGACATCTTACAGCCACAGTTCTACACGCACTAGCTCAGGCTCCTTCCCACCAGAGAGGTGACCTTCCATGTTCCTAAAGCCAGAGTTGTCAGCTAGGGACTGGAACACCAGCACCTCCTCTCCAAAGCCTTCAGTGCTATGATCGACTGTGCACCAAGTGCTAGCATCAAATGCCTAAAGCACCACCTGCGAGCGGTGAGCCCACAGAAGGGTGGGCCCACGTAATGCTTTGGCCTAAGGCCCAGCCACCAGGGCAGGCTCCAGACTGGCACCCCAGAATTATTCCAGGTAGGGTAGCCATGTTTAATTGTGCGTTTTTATCATAAGGGTTTATCTAAATGACTCTTAATCAGGCCCCTCACCCAGGACCAACCTTTCTAGACAGATCCTTCCAAGTGTAAATTGGTCCTGATGACCAATCTGACAGTTTGGTCCATTGCAACAATATTTTGGCCAAATTTCTAATCTAATTAAGGATATGACAAGTGAGTGGAATTGTATGTATTCAGTCAAATATATAATAAAATGTATTAAGATTATAATGTTTGCTTGTTATTTTAATCATTTGGTCAACACACACACAAGAGCTTGATGAAAAGGTACAGAACATGGTTTTTACAAATCTACAAACTTGGTCACATCAAGGAACTGAAGCACTAATATTTCTTGAATTGTAGTCACTATGAAGATTTCTTCAGCCACATTTTTAAGTACTGCTGTGGCTTCATATTGTAGTGGTTTTATACATTTAAACAAATCCCTTAGAGGTTGCAGGAGGAAGAGCATCCAGTGTAAAAATCAGCCAAATTAAATATGCAGACCTACCCACTGTGGAAAATCCTTGTGAATAGGGGAGCGTTTGTTTATTCTGGTTTGGAGGAAGAGTACAGAACATTACTGACATGTTTAGTGTTAAAAAGCAGCTCAACTGTTAGAATATGTTCGTCCTAAGAGACGTTGTGTTAATGCAGCTACAGGTGAAAAAAGCAAGGTGTATTTGACATATGCTCATCTTACTGAGGAAATGTTGTTGTATGTTAAAGCTGTATTTTATTGTAGTTGGTACTGCTAAATGTGCTATATTAAAGGCCAAGTTGTATAAATGTATTGTCTGATTTTCTTGTCTAACCATTAAAAATAAATAACGAAAAAAACATAATTTTTATGCAGGAATTCAATCACTCATTTGATCTAAAGCAAACATACTAAACTGTGGTTAACATGAGTGAATTAAGACATTTCTACTCAAAATAATTGAGATAAAATTACCACTTTAATCATTTTCACAAACATTAAGCGTACTAGCAAAAATATATCTGGATTTAGACGATTTTCTGTTGTGCGTGTGAATAAAAATTCCAGTTCAGCTTTTCCATTGTACATGTAAGTCATGCAATATTTTTACCAGTAAATATGTTGTTTTTATTGTCTTCAGCTATGGAGGAGCTGGATGGAGATGAGGTCAGAGTTTCCTCCAGGGGACGCTTTGCTGAGAGAGACATCGTCCAGGTGCACTGTATAAGATATATCCACTCTTATTTGGTGTTTATCAGTATAAAACTATGTAGAATTATTTTTTATGTCCAGGATAAAACCCGAATCAAAACTCAATCAAATTTATTTAACCTTCTTACCTGCAAAACATTCTAGTGATGTCAACAAATGTATAGATGTTTATGAGAAAAACACTCTTTGCATGTTTGATCTGTCTCGAGTAAACGCGTTTCTGATAAGTTTATGGTCTCATTCACCGGTTTTAAAGTCATATTGTATATACCATGATATTCATTTGTAAATTAAGGTCAGAAAGGAGGATGAGACTGGTGATGATCACTGGCAATTTGTTAGCCAACAATCTCAGCTTTTTCTTTCATTTATGCTCACAATCAGAGCTGTTTGCCTGAATATTAAAGACATTTCCTTTCACTGACATAAGAAAGATCCAAGACCAGAATATTATTATTTATTGTTCAATATGAGCATCATCGACTAGAATAGGATATAGAGTATAAATGGACTGGTTCTTATCTAGTACTTTTCTGCTTACCTGATGCATGAGAGAGTAACTTGAATGCACCCGACATGGGGTTAGTATCTTGCCCAATGATATTTGGCTTGCAGACCAACCTTCTGACCCGCTGTGAGCTCTAACCACCCCCAGTGTAGGACAGGAAATAAGGAAAAACAGAATAGTTTTCCTTTGAGTGCGTTTCAGTTGAAGTGGAAAAAGCCTGTGAGGCATAAGTCGTCAGTAACAACGATGATGACTTACATCCTAGCTCCACACTATCAAAATATATGATTTTTGAAAACTGTTGAAAAAATGTTTATGTCTTGACAACTAGGGCAAAAACCCCAACATTTTCAGATACATGAAAATTTACTTACAGTTTATGATTTACTGTGTGATTTTTGGCAGGTCATTTTTTGTGAATATTTCAATCTTAGAGCAAAAAAATGTTACCAACGATAATCTGAAGCCTCACAGTTTGAGCTTGATGTACTGTTATGTCAATACATCTGCAACATTAAAAGTAATAACTCCTCAACTGTATGAAAGCGTATTAGCAGCACCTTAGATGCTGAAGGAACCTACAAACACCAAATGAACTGAACAGTCACTTTTGCCTCCGATCCAGTTTGTTCCTTTCCGGGACTACATCGACCGGTCAGGGAACCAGGTCCTGAGCATGGCCCGACTGGCTAAGGATGTCCTGGCAGAGATCCCTGACCAGCTGCTGTCATTCATGAAGAGTCGGGGGATTGAACCCCGCCCCCCCCTGCCCGTCACCTCCGACTCCCCCTCAGTGTCCACCACAACTGCAACCAATACGTCTACGACCAAGCACTGCAACCCTCACCCCTGAGAGAAGGACAGCAGGCAGAGTGGAGCAAGCTGTTTGGGCAAAGGGAAGTGTGTGTGTGCATGTGTGTGTGTAGGTGTGTTCTGGGGTTTTCAAGGTTATCGGACAGAAACCAAATCAGTAAACTGAACCTAAGAATTCCTTCTGAAAGCACTGACTACGAGGATTCTTCTGCAAGACATATACAAGAAGCATAGACAATAGATTTTTAAATCTTTTTTTATGTTTCTGATTTTTTGTCAACATCTATCACAAACACTCTCCAGGTATAACACACGATTCTGCACAGACACACGGGCTCCATTCAAATCTATTGTTTCCTTTGTGTGTTGTAATCCACTATGGACGCTTTATTGACTTTTCTTGCAAAGGTGGGAAGTCAAAAGATTCTACTACTGGTCTTGTTCACAGTCTGCCGTAATAGAATAATAAATGCTGTAGCAGCCATCTAAACTGATTTCTATCAGCTGTGAAGAAAGACAGCTCTGAGGGTGATATCCTGTCCTTATTTGCTTATTCTCAGGGTGTTTCAGTGGCTATTAAATCATGTCTTGGTTCTTGCAACTGAGGCCCAAGGAACACTGGCTCTTTTCTTAAAATTATATGCTGTCTATTACTGTAGAAAATGAAACTTTTGTTTTAGTTTACTTTAGCAAAGGCATGGAAATTGCTCTCCTTTTCAAAGACACTGTTAGAAGACAGGGCAAGTTTAAAGTTAAAATCCCCCATGGACATGAAGAGAGTTGCTTGTGAGCACCTCCTGAAAGGAGTAAACATACAAGGGTATGAAACTAGCCATCCCCTGCTCCTCTGCACCTGCAGCCGCTGTACAATTTGAACATATGGAAGGGCAGATCATTTCAGCCCTGGTTAAAAAGTCGAACATAGCCGTGTCTGTGAGCTCTGTCCCCAGTCTTCTTCTAAACTGTAAATCTCCTGGCTGTGGCTGTCATTTGGGATGAATCATGCATGAGGAAGGTGCCTCTGGTTCTGAAACTGTCTACAGCTTCTACCTATTTAAAATGAAAAGGGTTTCCCATTGCAGATTTTACAGGCCAGAAAACTTCAAATGTAGCAAAGAAAATGTGTGGGAAGAGTGGGAAACACCAAGAAGAAGAAGAAATCGAATGTGAGGTTTGGTACTTAGTGCTGCATTGTTCAGTTTGCAAACTTTATCTTCATCATGCATGCCGAATTCTTGTGTTTTTTTTTTCTTCTCATATCCTGTATTTTTATTTTCCTTGCTTTTGTTGTGTGCATGAATGATTTAAGCAAAAGAGAGCAAGTGCTTGAACAGAAAACCTAAATCTTTCATTGGCAGTCCCAAAGAGCCCAACACACTGCAGCTTACAAGTACACAGACAAAACAAATGCAAGAATAAAGCAGGAAAAACCAGCTGCTGTGTGGCCAAGAAATAGGACAGAATGCAACAAACATATTAATCATTATTAAAATATTATTATTCGTCAATTCACTTTTCTCATGCCTTTTATGCTCCTGTCTCTGTAAGAGCCCTCTATCCCTAAAATTCAATCTTCTCACTGGCCATCCTCTGGAAAGTGACGGAAACCACCCAGTGCTTGAGAGCAGTGCTCGAATTTTGTAGGTGTGACCACAGAAAGAAATCTGTGGTGAACTGATGTCAGCTCATTGCAAAAGAAACATTTCCAAGTTCCTTCAAAACTTTGGGAACTGAACTCTGTTGTCTCGGTTAACCCCCCATGTAGCCACCACCATCAGTTTTTGAAGCCAGAAGTGACCATATTTAGATAAGAGGGACAAGTTTTAACTTACCAGCTAATGCTAGCAAGCTAATGCTAGCTAGGTTGAGCAAGGTGCATCGATAACATGAATCAACAAAGACAGCACCGGTTTAGCAGTGACTCAAGCTCCCTGTAGATGACACACCTATTAACTAAATCACTTTAAGTATTTTCAAAAGGTTGAATTTAAAAAAAAAGATGTACTACCATAGCTTTTATGAAGAGAATCCTATTCATTCAATCCTGTTTTTTTTCTACTATACTTTTTAATGGTGTCGAGACAGGCATTTGATTGTAAGCCCAACAAGGGACAATTGTTGAAAATTAGCAATAGCTATAAACTTATGTGCGTTACATCTGTTTCATGTTTTGTACTTGGACTATGTTAAACTGCACTGTCCCTTTTAAATAAATAGATTAACATGGCAGACAGTGAGGTTAGACTTGCTTTTGAAGCCAGCCTCAAGTGATTCATGAAACTGCAGTTTTGGCACTTCAGTCCTGGCTTGATTTTGTTAACCCCATTGTTTCTGTTTCCGGTGTGTTTAGTTTGCAGTTCAAAGACAGGCTACACGTGAATGTTGCTAGTAAAAAGGCGCACAGTGCTAGAATTACAAACAAATAGTTTGTTAGGACTTCTGTCCTGAAACTCCAGCATATTGAAGGAAAGAGGATCTGCCACTGCATTAGAAACACTTGATCAAACTTGGTATATCACTAGCTAAGAAGTGGAGAGACGTAATGAGACAAGATGAGGTCAAATTAAATTAGATATAAGAGAAAAGTATTTGATTTTGTGCAGTGTGGGTTCTGTCCAGTAGCATATTTGTATTAGGATGTGTTTTTAATTATTACAATGGATTTCTGTATTTATTGTATATGTTGTAAAATGGCTCCATTTCATTGGTGTTTATTTTGTCCATTTTCATCTATATTCTAACATTTTAGCCTTCTGAGTTTTTGCAACGACACAATTTTTGCTGTTAGGTGGGCTCTTTTTTTGGTACCACTCCATAAAACAAATACTGTGAAGTTTCATCAATTTTCTTTTGTCTCTGACCTTTTTATGTAGGGTTTTAGAATGTTCAACCTGGCTGTGTCACGAAAACAGAAACAATAATAACAACAACGAATGGATTACATGATATTTATCTGGATTACTGAGTATTTGTCACATTGTATCAGAAGGGAAATGGACATGTGGCCTTATTTCTGTCATAATCCTGCAAGTAAGTGTGAGGGAGGACTCTATTTTTATATGACAACACCAGGAAATATGTTATTTTGCATGCTTATATGGCTGTTATGCTGCTAATGATTGTACTATCTGTATTCATATCTGAAAAAGATTTCAGACAACATTCCTCTGTGTGTTTACTTGTGTACTGTGCAGAATCAATCCTTCTATTTCAGACTGCCAGCCTAATAATCCAGCACATAACAGATATATGAAAAGTAGGGTAGATTTGTATCAAACAACGTTTAAAACATGCATGTTTGTGTTATGACTATATGTAAACAAACCCAAAGTCACATAACCTGTTGGATATTTTTGTATGAAGCATGCTGAGCTTTCTACACAGTGTGTACAGGATGAGGTTATTATATACTGCTCACCAGTTCCATTTGTTATGTAGAAGCTGCATGTAAATATGTTAAAGTGTTGTACAGAATATTTTGTGAAGTCTTCCTTCTTTCCATTTTTTCACTCTGTTCCAAATATTTCTTTTATTTTTGTTTCCACTTGTGTTGGTCAAAGTTTTTAATTTTGTCACTGTTTTCTAGCTTTTGCTTAAAAACCAAATAAAGATATTATTGAAGGCTGAACTGTAATCTTGCTCACTGTTTTACAGTAATTGCTGTGTTAAACTTCACTTACATCGCCTTTGTTTGTTTGTATTTTTAACTCAAAGATAAATTAGACCAACATCTTTTTTTTTCAAGCAATGATGAAAAATTGTTATTATTTATATATTTGTAAAGGGGCCAAATTATTTCAAATTTATGTACATTTTATACTTATAATCTGCATATTGATATCTATTTTCAAATTATTAAACTTTATGTGACTATATTTTGATTAGCCTCTTTTAGTTATCAGCTGAAGACAGAAGAAAAGTAAAGGGGGAGGTGTATTTGGAGTCAGTGAGACAGAAAAAAGGGCGGGAGTTTGGAGATGTGAGTAGTGACTTTAAAAAGTAAAGACTATGACTAGTAAAGGGAGAGAGCTGGGTGATATGAAGGAGAGAAGGAAGACAGATATATTGTGTGTGCGGGAGAAGGGAAGTAGAGCCACGAGCATTGGACGTGGATTCAAACTCTATTACTACAGTGCAGATAGTAAATGAAATGGAGAACGGGGAATCTTGAAGGAGTGCTATGGAGTTGAATGTCAGACAGGATCATGAACTTGAAGCTGGAAACTAATGGGCGGATGTCAGAAATTGGCTAGGAAATCATGAAATCATGAAGAAGAAGTGAGTGAATGCAGTGGCAAGGATTAAATGGAGGAAGTGAAGAAGGAAGAATGCTTTGCAGAGTTTAGTGGTGAGTTAAAACAGGCTCAGGAAGGTAGGGAAGAATATTCAGATGACTGGGAAAGTACAGCTAAAGTGGTGAGAGAAACTGCCCAAAAGCGGCACGTGTTTCCTCTGAGCATAAGAAAGAGGACAAAGAGATGGTGGTGATGCATCATTTGCTAGGCAGAGAGATGAAGTTAGAAAGGATGTGCAGCAGGTTAGAGTGATTAAGCATGGAGACAGAAATATAAGAGTGTGCTGAGAATATGGGAGGAGTGCCTTGATGAGTTGATGAATAGAGAAATTGAGAGAGAAGAGGACAAATGTCAGACAGTTAGTGAATTAGGAAGTGCAGAGGATTAGTAACGAAGATTAGAGTGGAAGGGTGCCGATGATATACCTGTGGAGGAATGAAGAAGGCAACGGACTTTAAGCTACGGAAAAAAGTTTTTGAAGCTAAATGCGAAGAAGACAAGTTACAGTCAGTGAGCAGCACTATGGCAAGAGTGAAAGGGAACGTTTACTAGACAGTAGTGAGACCGGCTATGTGTGGTTTGGAGATGGTGAAGGTGAAGCTGGAGGAGGCAGCACTGAGGATGCTAAGATTTTCAGTGGGAGTGACCAGACCAAGAGTATAGAGAAGGATGGCTCAGGTAGAGTGTTTTGGAAAGGTAAATGGTAAATGGCCTGTATTTGTATAGCGCTTTACTTAGTCCCTATGGACCCCAAAGCGCTTCACACATTCAGTCATCCACCCATTCACACACACATTCACACACTGGTGATGGCAGCTACATTGTAGCCACAGCCACCCTGGGGCGCACTGACAGAGGCGAGGCTGCCGGACACTGGCGCCACCGGGCCCTCTGACCACCACCAACTGGTCAGAGGGCACCAACTTTGGAGTCATAGTTAGCGAGGCAGGCTCAGATCATCTGGACTTGTGCAAAGAAGAGATAGTGGATATGGAGGAAATAAGAACACAGAGTGGATTTAGGGATGGAGGACACGCAAACAGTTGGTGTGACAGATTAGGATGCTGGGTATAGGGTGAGATGGAGACAAAAGATCCACTGTGGCGAACATTAAAGGGAGCAGCTGAAAGAAGAGGAAAAAGATAGCAGTGACTTAACATGCTGCTTTATTTGTACTGTTCATGTTTTTTTAAAGGGAAAATAAACATTATTAGCCCAGTGGATGATTCTCAAATCTTGTCCCTTGATCAGAGTCTACATTACATTTTAAACGAACATATTAAATGTGGGTTCTCTCCAGGTAGTCCGGCTTCCTCCCACAGTCCAAAGACGTGCAGTTACTGAGGTTAGGTTAAATGGGGATTCTAAATTACCCATAGGTATAAATATGAGTGAGAATGGTTGTCTGTCTCTCTGTATTAGCTCTGCAGCAGACTGGTGACCTGTCCAGTGTGTACCCCTCCTCTCACCCAATGATAGCTGGGATAAGCTCTAACCCCGAGCTAGGGTTGCCAAATCTTTAATTATCAAATAAGAGACACTCTGGTGTGCCAGAAGCACAATCCACAACCAGCTGGGTAGTGTAAATATGCACTATGTGACGGTGCAGGTAACGGTCAATATATGTGACATTTAAGGTAGACTAAGGAACCAATTGAGTACATTCAGTGTTAAAAGAGAAGCTGTGAAGGTCTGAGATCAGCAGCTCTCTGAAAAACCAACTGAGGTAGTGTTTATGCTCCTATATAGTGAAACTGTTATATGGATGATTAATCCCTTTGATTGTTTGTCTTTAAAAAGCTGCAACTTTCACATCATGTGGTACTTTAGACTTTGTACTTTTTTCATAAGTTAATTTTGGAGTTTCTACAAACAGTAAACATACAGGATGATTTGTCTGTTGTCACTGGGCGGTGCTGAGGTCTGAGGGCAGCTTCTGTAATAACAACGAGAACAGAATCATCACAAAACATGAAATATAAAGTCTATCCCTCAAATCTGAAAGTAAGTTCTGCTCTTACATTTTTTTTTCAGTTCTACAGTTCTGCCAACAGCTGGCATATGAACTGCTTATTTTAAGAAAAGACAAAAAAAATAGACTAGCACTTTATCCAGTATAATATTTACCTTTGAGTTATTGGTGCTTTTTAAATGTATTTAAATACAGTTTGAAACAGTCGATGTGGATTTGCATCGTGGACCTCCTCTCAGCATCCCTGATCTATCTGCCATTGCAGAACAGACATATGCAAACCTCTCCATGATCGCAGCTGCCAGTCAAAGCGGTCATGATGACGTTATACCCCAATTTAACAGCATTATGTTAGTAATTAGAATCAAACTTATGAGAAAGGAGACCACTTGAACACAAATCAGCCTGATTATCATACTGATAATGAAATAAACCATGTTTGAGAAAATCGTATCTGAGTAGAACTTATTTTAGTTAGGACCCCCTCCGCTAACATGGAGGAGGCGGGGTTTATGACCAGCCAGACACCAGGGGCCATTTTGGCTTCTCATTTTGGGGGCGATGTTAGGTCGTCCATGTGTGTCAAAAAACTAAAAGAATATACACAAATTGATCAGAACAGGTCTGTAATGTTTTCTCTTAGGAGAAAAATGTTGTTTTATACTGCTGCACTGCCACTTAGTGGAAGAAATACGAACTAAAAACTGTACCAAACTGGAAACGGGAATTTCCCAAGTTTTGGATTCACTTTTCAGTTAAAAATAAATAAATAGTGTAGAAAGGTTATCTTAAATGTATTATTGATAATAACTAATCCGCACAAATATCCAATACTACACTATCCACATCACAATTTCACTACGGCATATTCTTGCTGCCTTCAGGTACTCCTTGTGGTTCAAACCATTACATGTAAGGGCAGCAGTATATATTGCACTTTTTGACCCAAAGACATTTGGTTGTCCCTCTGTTAATAGCAGACTGTAAGTTTAGCTATCAGCTGTGGCTTTATTCGTTTTCTTAAATGTAAGGCTTCTGTGCAGAAAACTGAAGAGAAGTTCTATCGACCTTGACAAAGCTTTGGTAGTTGCTAACAAACACCCGACTACCAAAGCTTGTTGGTTCATCCACCCCTAAGTTGAAATTTCAATACTGCCCCTGAACGCAACACTAGGCCCACTGGAAACCGTGTAGTGGCTCCATGGATCATATCCATTTAGTAGGGCGGGCCTTTTCCCGTGTCGCTGCTACAGGGATACCAAGATGGAAATCCAGGGGCTTTCTGATGCCCAAAACATTCAGTCTCAACATGGCGCCCTACACAGAAGCATTTCGTCTCCACATCGATCGGCAACGGGGTCAATACCTCATTTTATTTCCAGCGAAAATGAAGCGGAAGTGCTGCTGGAGTCGCTTGAGCTACACAGCGACAACAACAACAACACTAGGCCGAGAACATCGCCGTTTCGCCTACTGGCGGAAAATGGCAGCGAGGTGGCTTGTTCGCCTGTCAGCGCACCGCAAACTACGCTTAAAAGCAATTTACCGGGTAACAGACCGGGCGTGGGATTTCATAACGTGAACCCGGAGAAGGAAAATGAGCTCAGTGCCCTACTAACTTCACAGGAGTTTGTCAAGACAGCCTGGAAATACGGATTAGAAAGCGGGGATGTTGTAATGCAAATGGCGCTGCCTCTCTTTGAAGGGGAAGAGGAACCGATGCCGCAGCGGCAACCAACGTTTCCAGTTTTACGGCAGCAGCGTGAGGACGGCTCCTGCAAACAGCCCTCAGTAGCCAGCCATAGCGCTGCGGCGCTGGGGAACTTGAGCACGGTAAACCTGGCGGAACAAACCGCCCAGGAGTTTTATGTTCTTTTTAATGTCGTTCAAGACGAAGGCAGCGGCGAGACAAGTAAACAGCACCCGGATGTGCCTGAGGATGGCGATCAAATGAAAGGTAAAAAGCAGTGTTCCAAAGCAAGTCCCTGTGGCCCCATGGAGCCTGGAAATCGCAGTAACGTTGTTTCATGTGAATCTAATGACACTTTGAACTGCCTCGATACACAGGGCTTGAAACCTGAGCATGTTTTCAATTTACTGAACGATAATCCCGCGGCGGGTAACGTTAAACAGACTGCCTACCACCCCACCGTCGAAGACGTTGTTTTGACAAACAAATATGGCGATAGGATTTGTGGCCAGATGTGCACCGAAAGCAGCGAAGGTAAACTGGTCAGGGAGCTCTCGTCGCAGCCTCGCGTTGACGAGAGCAGTACCTTGATTTCAGGGACTGCGGGGATCGTGGAAGCCATGGACACATCGGACTTTGGTACAGATTCAGCGGCGGCGCAGGGCAGTACAAACCCGGTCACGGCCTCCACAAGTCCGCCTGCTAGCGAAACATTTTCCGGAACTATCACGATAAACAACCAAAGCATCATAGTGACTATTGAAAACGGGGTACTAACTCTTGCTGCCCCACCCGAGGGCTATGTACATAAGGAGGATGACATGGTTAGCTTAAAGGAGCACTTAGGAATGAAAGATCATGAAGATATTGTTCTCCTCAACTATGACAGTGGTACTAAATCGATCGGGAAGATCAGCACACTGGCAGTAGCCAGTTCCAGCCATCAGGAAGAGCCCACACCTGGTTTGTCTGTCAGCGACTCAGAGCTGGCTCTGGTGGATGACTGCTCCCTGTCAGAGCTAGGTACTTCACTGGACTCTTGTGCCAAGCAGGAGGCAGGGTCACTATGTGCAGTAACAGAAGCAGATATGGGCCCCCCTCCTCCCGAAGCCGCTGTAGCTGGCTGTGACAATGAAGAGTGTCACTCTGTACCAGTAATCAGGTCCAAGAAAGACACCGTGTCCACCTTTGACTGCCCAGAACCAGGCTGCCCCTCCACATTTGACACACGACAGAAACTCAAGGTTCACCTCCTAAACCATGCTGAGGACCCACGTCCATATCAGTGCACTGTGGACGGCTGCGGCTGGGCATTTGCCACCTCCTACAAGCTGAAGCGGCATCTCCAGTCCCACAACAAGCAGCGGCCACATACGTGCCAGTTTGAAGGCTGTGGGCGGCGTTTTACCACTGTCTACAACCTCAAGGCTCACGTCAAAGTCCACGAGCAGGACAACGCCTTTGCCTGCGAGGTCTGCAACGAGAGGTTTCGCAGTGCTACCCGGCTCACCAACCATCAGAGGGTCCACTTTGAGCCACAGAAGCCTCACAAATGTGAATTCCCAGGTAACTCATACATCAAACTGTGAATTTTGTGCTTTTATGTAACCATTTGGAATTTCTAGCCTTTATCCTGCACTTGGAATTGGCTGATGGGTACTCCACAACATCACTGCTATGATATGAAGCACTTTACCAGAAGGTTTGACGTGTTTTGAGCAACACAGGGCATTTACTTATTTCCTGCTACACATTTCTATTCATTATCTGTGCTACAATAGCTTTGCATGTCTTGCAGTTCAAAAATACTCCAAATTTATCTGATGCCGGCACTCAGTATCAACCTCTGAAACGAGCTGTTTTAACTCCTACCGGTTTTAAACAAACTCTGTGGCTGCCCTACCTAAACAAACTTAAAGCAGCAGGTGGGTGGGGCCAAAGTTCCCAGATGACCATATTCTGGATCCCTTCAGACATCGTATATAACCAGTAGTAGAAAAAACTGTTTAAAGGTGAGCGTTAAAAGCAGTCTGAATCCTGAGCTTTTGTCTCACAAGAGTTAAATGTAGATGCACTGATCTATGTTCAGTATGAGGGTACATGATTATAACAGTTTCTGTTTAACAGAATATGATGAAAAAATATATACATATAAAATGTGCCTTTATGGTACCGTTGGTGTCCTACATGTTTGTCTTTCTGTCCTATGCAGGCTGTGAGAAAACCTTCATCACCTTCAGTGCTCTGTTCTCCCACAATCGCACTCACTTCAGAGAAACTGGCCACTTCATGTGCACCTACCCAGGCTGTGACAAGACCTATGATAAGGCCTGTCGTCTCAAGATCCACATGAGGAGTCACACGGGTAAATTGAGATTTAAGGGTCTGTTTAGCTGGGCCTGTTGTTTTCTGTGGTTGATTTTTTAAAAAGCAGCATGTAGTCTACTAAATTAACTCTGGCTTATTCCTAATACATTTTTGTGAAGCAGCCAGCTGCAGTGTCGCAAATCCAAACACATTAGCTGTGATTGTTCTTCAGAACACTAATGCAGAGAGTAAAAGTTCTTTCTGAGCTTGGAGTGAGAAGTAAAACTGATGCTTTTGTGGGGAATATGTATAGCTGTAAGTTATTTAAAAAGGCCAATAATTGTGTTTTTTGTTTGTTTTTTATGAGCATTGAGTTAAATAGAAATCACAAACATAAGTGTGTATGTTGTCACTTTTAGTTCTTAGAAGGACAAAACCAATCAGCAGCTCTAGCGTTCCTAAAGAAAATCGGCCAAAAAAATCTTGATCCAGCTCACATTAAAAGATTTGTGAAGTGAGGATCCTTGCAGCAGTAGGTGTAGTGTAGCATTAGGAATGAAACTTGTAACTTCCTTTCTCCAGGCGAGAGACCGTTTGTCTGTGACTCCGAGGGCTGTGGCTGGTCTTTTACAAGCATGTCAAAGTTGCTCCGACATAAAAGGTGAGTGCTTATTAATTTATGCTTTGATCATGGTGTAAAATAGTGGACACACTCCATTTGTGTGTAACTTACTGTTAGGAACTCCTGATAAAGTATCTTTCTGCGACTGCAGATGGAAAATAGCTGATAGCTAGATCTGATGGAACGCAGCTTTTCCTTTTGTGTATTTTCTACATGTTCCTAAAGGCAATAAACAGAAACCTGAAGTAATGTTTTATAACATCTAACAAAGTTATCAAAGGAATAAAGGGAGTGAATGTCTACATCGTGCGGTGAGAACAAACCTTGTTAGATAAGCTGACCATGTCAATTTTAGTTTTGTGTTCTTTGCATAAAGGTTTGAAAGAACAAGGTTATGAAAATGTGAAGTTTTCTCTGTAAAGGTCATCTAGTTGCGAGTCTTCACTACAGTGTTGATACTCATTTAGTATGTTATGGTTTTATATCAAGTTACATAGAATAAAGCACTATTATAATGTAGGATGTGGCTACCTTTTGATTGACAGGGTGTTGCTTTGTATAACTCTCATCATATGCTTCCTTGGCTCCAAATACCCAAAACAGTCTTAGCAAAATGCCTAAATGGAGACTTGCGAAAAGCAGCATACACCCTCCTCTTCCGTGCTGTCTGTGGGAATGTTTTGCCACTACAGGAAGTGTGATTGCTGTTACATGCCTGTTTTTGTTTTAGTGAACTCGAGCTTGTCACTGCAGTTCTGTTTTACTGGTGCAGTTTGACTTTGAAAGGCTTTGATTCCTTGTTAAGTTTAGCTTCAGTTTGATGTAACAAAATGTAAATGAAATTCTGTTTTTGTGCTATGACTTTTCTTACTTTGTTTTAAATGTGTGAAGGAAACATGATGATGATCGGCGCTTTGTCTGCTCAGAGGAGGGTTGTGGGAAGTCCTTCACCCGGGCCGAGCACCTCAAAGGACACAGTATTACCCATCTAGGCACGAAGCCTTTTCAGTGCCATGCAGAAGGTACAAACCTTTTATAAAGGAACAACAACAAAACTAATAATTTTCCACGAGACAAATGTTCACATTTTCTCCCTGAAATATTTACTTAAGACCAGTGTTTCATGGTGACTGATTTCAGTAACATGTGCCTCCTTTGTGTTTTTCAGGTTGTAATGCCAAGTTTTCAGCACGTAGCAGCCTCTACATCCACTCCAAAAAGCATAAGCAGGACGCCAGCACCCTGAGGACTCGCTGCCCTGTGGCCAACTGCTCCAAACACTTCTCGTCCCGCAGCAGCCTTAAGAGCCACATGCTCAAACATCACCACCTCAGTGCTGGTTAGTAATTGTTCTGCAGACTTAAAGTTCCCCAGAACTGTGCTGCGTTTCAGTATGCGAGTCTCGTACTGTCTGTGAAAATTTATAAAACATCCAACTGTTTTCTGTTTCCATGTGGGACGATGGATGGAAACCGTTCCTTCTTTCTTGTGTAACAGTTTTAATCTTTTATTCCACTTGCTGTTGTTCCTGAGATGTTCATTTTTAACTTGGGGTTTGTTTTTTGGTTGTTTTCCTTCCCAGATGTTCTCAGTCAGATGGAAACCACACCAACCCTGACCCCCAGTAATGAGCTCGTTAGTTCCACACCTACCACGGTTGCAGGACCTGGTATTGCTGGGGGCGACCAGCTGACAAACCTGGACCTCAGCTCTCTGTTCTCTTCTGTGCCTGGAGGAACTGCACCCACTACAGGCATTGGAGTGGGAATCCCAGTTGGTGGGGCTACGTCTAATGGCCCGTTCACAATGGACCTCTCCCTGGTCAGCTCTGGCATCCTGACCATCGACCCCTCTTCAGTGGGAACTACACTTGTTACCAGCACTAACACCACAATGGCCAAGGCTGTGGACCCTCTTATATTGGCAGCCAATGCCGACATGACCCCCCACCACAACCTGGAGGGAACGGCAAGTGACGTCCTGCGCCCACAAGGCACCCTTAACCTGGATGATGTGCAGACAGTTACCCCAGAGGCGCTGGGAACCCTCACTGCCCTTACTATGCAGGGTGCTGGTGCCACTGTGGACCCCACTCTGCAGCACCCACTCAGCTCGTCCAGCTCCTTGAGCGTGGAACCCACAGCCTCCCTGGCTGTAGCTCCCGTTGCCGAGCTCCTTGGCTCACCATCTAAGGTGGTGGAGGTGGGTGGCCAAGGAGGTGCTGGGACTCTGTTGGGTTGTGTGGAGGTGCTGGGACCCCAGGAGGGAGGAAAAGTGCTCACTCAGTTTGTCTTTCCTGGTCACAGCAGCAGCTTCAGCCCACAGAAAGATTCGGAGCTCAGTTCTGTGTCACCAAGCAGTTTCCTGGTGAGCATAGATACTCACAGATTCAATAAACCAATCGAAACACAGCTGATACAGAAAATACATTTGCGACTTTCAGGCATACAAGCTTTTCTCTTTATCTCGAACGGTAACCGGTTGGGTAAGGACCCTGCTCACCTTTCTGTAACAAAACCAAAAAAGACTCATAGTTCAATGACATATAAAGGGTCTTTGATAATGAATTGTCAGTCTCCATTCTTTCATCTAGAAATGGAAAAAGATATAGCCATCGTCTCAGATGTTTTTTTCTTTCTTTGTTGTTTTTCAGGCTTCGGATTTTTGCATGAATGTCCTTTTTTATTTGACAATGTGTTTTTCAGTGGTGGCACATATTTAACAAGATTAATCACAGTCGGTAGAGAAAGTAGTCAACAGACAGATGATGAAAGGTGGTGCAAACCTAACATGCTCCCATTTTGCTTGACAGGAGAGTGGGGGCTCGGCTAGGACTGACTACAGAGCCATCCAGCTGGCTAAGAAGAAGAAGCAGAGAGGCCCCTCGGCCTCCTCCGGTAACTTACGTTCTTTAGTTTCATGCTAGCCAAAGCTCCAGTAACTGTTAGACTGACAAGGTTTTCTTTTGACTTGTTCAGGGACTTCAAGCTCAGGTCAGAGAAAAGCTAAAGGAACAAAGGCTGCCACAGCTCCAGGACCACTTGCTCCCTCTGGGGCTCGCTATGGTGATGGAGCTGCAGTAGCGAATGGGGGCCTGACTCTCCGTGACCCCATCACCGGTGCCCAGTATGTCCAGATCCACCTGCTGCAGGTGAGATATGGCAAGTTGGGGAAGGTGGCAAATCTGCCCTGGTCAGAAAACATAAAGCTGTCTAGACCAAACCGTGATACTTACGATTCAAATAAGCTCATGATTTGGATAACTCGCCACTGCTACTGTCTGGGCGCTTGCCTTTGTTTTAATGAGAATTTGTTCCACAGAATTTTAATTCCTTCTGCATTTTTACTGCACAGTGTGAAATTGACCTTTTGTGTACCGTGAAAACATTAGTTGCTATTTGGGAACTAAGAACACAGTATAAGTGCAGAGCAACATCCCATAAGCTCATTAAAGTGCCAGCTTAACACTGGCTACAAGGAGTTGTTCTGTCTGAGGCTTGTTTTTACCATTTTGTCAAATGTGTGCCATTAAAACCAGCTGTATTATTGTTTCCCATTACAATCAAGTACCAACTTATGTGCGTGGGGTCGTTTTATAGCAACGTGCCTGTACTTCCTGTGACATCATTTGTATGCCACACGAACAAAGGAGGATGACTGGCGATGGTATACCTGCTGCTGTCTGTGGGTTTTTGTCATATTTGGGGACCACCGTGCTGTTTTTGTGCAGCCTTGTCCCTCGTTGCCAGGTTTCAAAACTGGTGGTTTTTGATTTTCATGAAGGAGACACTCATGACATTGAATAGCCAATCAGTGGCATGCAGTCTGATGACGTCACATTTTCAGATCACTTCATGACTTAAAAAAAGTACCTGGTAACAGGTACTATCACCTAATGGAAAACCCTAAAAACCATGTCGAGCCAACCTGTGTAGGCCATAATGGAACAGGGCTATATATGCCAGAAGCTACAAGGACATTGGTGAAAGTGAAACCCAGTTCCTCGGCTCAGTATCAGGAAACACCTGAAGCAAAGGTCTCTGTGTGGCGGCCGAAGTGGAAAAAGTTGAATGATGTAAAATAACTCGAGAAAAGTGTAGAAACATTCTGCACAGACCTCATGAAAGTTGGTGCTGCTAGCACAGCTAATGCTAGCACAGCTAATGCTAGCACAGCTAATGCTAGCACAGCTAATGCTAGCACAGCTAATGCTAGCCACACCCAACACTGTATGTTTAGTTTCAGAGTTCCAAGTGTGAAACCTCCGTTAATCTGATTTCTTTCTCCTGTCTGATCAACTAGTAAATTAGTAAAAAATGAATAGAAACATCCAACTAGGGACTGTTTTTCTTTTCACGTACTTTTGTGCACTGAACAGCACACTAATCACAGCGGTTGTTCGAGTGTCTAATCAATGTGTGAACACGCAGGATGACCCAGCCAGTGATGGAGACCTGGCCTTCCAGTTGAGCTCTCAGCCCTCCAGCTCCCACTCTCAGCTCACTGTTGACCTGCCTGTCAACATTTTACAGGTGGGAGTAATCTTTTCTGTCGTTAAAGAGACATTCGACTGCATTTGTGCTTTGACTTTCTGTTATGGAATCGGTTGTTTGTCCTTTGTAATAGCCACAGATTAGTGACACTGTCAGCCTTTAGAGAACTGAGCTGTGATGCTTTTCTCCACAGGAGTCTTCGGTGATTACAGAGGACGACAATGGCTCTGACAACTCCCAGTTCACAGGAAGCACAATCAACCTTCAGGACTTGGAGTGACCACCTATACTGCTGCGGGGTCAGAGGTCTATCAGCAGCTGGCCTCCATCCACAGTTTACATGAGATGATAGATTTCATCAAACAGTTGCCTCACCCTCGAAGGGCTTTTTGGACATGTGCTCCATGGAGTTTGTGGTCATGATTCAGCAGATAATGCACCTTGAGAAGAAGAAAAGAGGATTCTTTGTTGAGAATGTTGCCGTATTATTTTAAGTCCAGTTTGTACCAAATTCAAAGCCTGAGAGCACAGTCGTGTCAGAGGCTGCTCCGTCCTCTGTGGGTGTTAACAGTAATGATGTCTGTTCCACAGTGCCACATTGCCACTCACATGCAGTGCGCTGTTTATTCTCCAGTTGCCTTATGAACTCATGCTTCACGCTGTGCACGCCTCCACCGGCAGGTTACCTGCTTTGTTGTTCTTTTCTCTTGTGTTTTCTTAGATTTATTTTTCTATGGCAGCAGTAATTCCATGTTGAAAACATGCCTGTCCATGCATTTGTATACATGAGTAACTCCCTTCTTATGATGATTTCAGTTTATTTATTAATAGCTACGGGTTTACAGAATGGCAGAGCCAGACGCAGAAGAATTAAAGACTCAAAGCACAATCAGAAGAGCGTGTGAAGTAGCAGTCATTTCACTTTGTTCGGTTAAATGTCACAAAGGGGAGATTCATTTAGTAAGGAAGTATCCCTTTACTGAATGTGTTAAGTCATAGTACTGGTGAAGCTGATCATCTCACAGAAGAAACCGAGTTTGGAGCAAGGACCAGTCGGCAGCAGCTCAGTTTTAGAAAAGGAAAAAACAATCAGAGGTTTAAAAATAGAGAGTGAGTAATGGAAGAAGTGCTGTCAATAACAAACTGCAAAGTTTGGTCACATGGGTTTTTGTGCTATCATTTATTTTTAAATGTCCCATTTAGCCAATACAAGTGGCATATATAACTCCCTCTGTGCAGCTAACATTTAATTACATTTATCTATGTAAATCTATTTGAACTACCCAGTTAAACTACGAGTAAATCTAGCTGGGAGCACATCCTTATTTAGATGTGACAGCGTTTCTAGTAGATAATGGCCGATGTCTTGAGCATGAATTGAGGCTGCCGTTTGGGGAAGGCCTCAGAGGGGACTGGCCACAGATCACCCTGTACTAATGAGAAGTGAATTAACTGAGGGAGGGGCATGAGTATGTACTGCTTGTGCAGGGGGCCATATGGAGGTGTGGACCCGCTCTTGAAATTCAGGTAAATTATCTCCGATTCTTGAAGGTCTGGATAATCTTTGATTTTCTCCTGAAATCAAACCAAGTTAAAGTGGCCTCAAACACCACAGACACATTTAACCACTGACACTGGCAGGAAAAAGGTTTGGGAATTTTACTCACCAAAAAGTGAAGCGCATAATTCCAATAAAAATGTTCAAAAATACTCTAAAATGCAGCAACAGCACAAAGACGATGAGCAGGTCCAGTTCAGCCAGGACAGGCAAATGTGCAGTTGCAGCTTCCCGTGTAGGCACACACCTAACATAAGGATTGAATAAAGGGGTCACTCACTGTATAGTTTTAAAAGTGAATTCAAATCACATTTTCTTAGCTGGACCCAGCAGTGTCGCCAGGGCTTTAGGGCCTCATGGAAAAAACGAATCACTTTGGCCCGACCACGCCAGCCCTAAATCTATAACACTGGATCAAAATTCTGCTCAGATAAACACATTTGATTTTTAATTATGATTTTATTAGATTTTTTTATAACACTGATTGGTACCGTACACCAAATACAGTGGATGAAAGTAAAATAGAATTGTTTATAGAACGGTGCAGTATTTTTTACTGCTTCAAGTTTTTGTTATAATGTATATTCAGATGTAACTTAAATAATCCTTTCGATATCAATCTTTAAACAAAGTATATCTAACCAAAATATGTCTCTGTCCTGAGACCTAGTGGAACTCAAATAGTGATGTTGACTAAAAGAACTCAAACACGTTGTTTTCTGTTAGAAATGAACTACTACCACAAACTCACTGCTATTGGCAGAAGGCTGGTTTTTACTGAAGTGAACTGGCTCCATTTTTTACAGCACATTGTTAGGTGATCATCCTGCAACTGTGACGTCCCAATAATTTACCTTGATTGGTAAATCCATATTATATCATATGGTGTGTAACTCCTGTCCTCCTCCCTGTTTAGGATTTCTGACTGTAGTAAAATTCCCTTCATCCATCACCTACTCCAGCAGAACTATACTGAAGTAAAAATGTATCCTAAACTGTCATACAACAAAGGATATTACTAATGAAGACTGGTTATACAGAACCTTGAGCAAATATGGCGTCCTGCGTTCTTCATTCAGCGACAACTCAGCAATAAAAAGTTTTTCTTCCAGCAGTGTGATGTTCAACAAATTGTTGTTAAAATTATAAATATATCCGGAGGCTATGAATGAAATGGAAAATGCAGTTACAGTTAAAATTTATATGATCTGCATAGCTGTGTTTAATTATGTCGTTTGCTTTCATGAACTGTTGGATGGTCCATAGCAATGAATTATGGGACAGCATTTTCTCCTCTCTTTTCATAAAGGATGGGCCAGTGTATCATCTGCTAAAGAAAGCCATAAAGCAACCATTGGAACTCCTTTCCTCAATATTTGAAGAGTTGGAACAGCTCTTACTATGGCTGCAATGCAGATACTTGGTCACATCTCTCACTGAGAAATCTTCCTGAGCAAAATACACTTTTGAAACGCACCCTTACTTTTTCCAGCCACGTGTGATTAGGACAGGTGTAGAGCCATCATCTTTCACCTGTGTATAATGTATGTATAAATAATCCAGATTATGGGCAAGCACATATTAAAGAAACCTGTTTAAAGTTATAAAAGTTGAAGATAACCAATCACTGTACCACTGAATTAACATGCACAGACAATTTTCTTTTCAAAATGAATGTAGTTGTGACAGAACCACGAGTATCAGTTTTCTCTTGTATAGTAATATTATCAGTGCTAGAGATTTTCTGGATTTAGACTGTTTATATATTTAACCCATAAACCTTTGTATAGACTGTCCTCTCCCCATTTCTTAAGGGGACAAATATGTTGCAAATCATTTCTAGTTGATCTCTCTCTCCTGCCGTGCAGTCATGCAGTGCTTATTTACACCAGCAGATGGAGACCAAGTCATATGAAGCATCTCCGTTACTCCCACAGGGACAGCAAATCCCGATAAAGGCGTCATTTAAGTCTCAGCTCTTCATAATCCGCAGTGATCTTTCGACCAGTCTTCCAACACTTAGGTATGAGGAGCATCATAAGTTCTTGTGGAATTATAATGTATTGTCTTACCCGACCTAAATCTGCATGCAGATCAGTACACTAGCATAGCACGTGGAGTCAAAGACCTGAGTTGGAGAGTTTCCCACTTAGGGCTCAAAATAAATATATTACAAAGCACATTGTTTGCTGAATCTAAATAAGTAATCTTCAGTGCCTAAATCCAACCAAGTAGTCTTGACTGCTTAAACCTAACCACATTTGAAGCAAGATTAAAGTGCATGAGGAAAAAAGCTAAATAAAGTGCAGAATACAAAAGTCCAAACATGAGCCCAGCTGCAGTTTCTTAGATGACAAACATGCAACTTCTAAGTCTTAAAAACAGGAGCGGTGTCTCTTGGCAGTCATTACTGCCTCAACCAGTTTGTCAAGGCAAGAAACACCTTACATGTAACAGGAACACGGAGGTGGTATCTGCCAAAATGGGATAATGTTAAGCCCAAGAAACAGTTTCCAAGGTGCACATAGCGCACACAGCCCTTCCTGATTCACAGTGTGTCAAATACACGTATATAGTTTTTAGTAACTACACCTAATCAAGAGGGAAAATCACGAGTTATTTCAAATGTGGACTTTATTGTTCTTTAACGAGGAGTAATAAGTCTGTGCAGCTGGTGTATCAATGCACACCCACACCAAAGTGCACGCTACACAATTCTCTGTGACACATGTCACAGTATGGCAGTATTATAGAATGTACAGGTGCATCTATTGGAAGGTCCAAATTTAGCAAAAAATATGAATCCCTCAGTATTTCTAGGAATGGGATTTAGCTGGAGGCAGCATCCAATAGCTGTTAGTGATATTGCATTTTAGTTACTGAGTTTTGATAGCTGTGCTTCACTGCTTTCTAGCTGATGCATAAGAAATAAAATACATGCACAAGATGACTTTGCTAGCTGAGGGCTTGTTAAGATAACTACCATTAGCAAATGTTGCTATTTGATGAGGGTCTAGGTTTGAAACTTCCAAGTTAAACATACAGAAGGCCCACGGGTGCCATCTTAGTTGGTTTAATAAACTTTAGACAAACTAAGGTTTAGTAAAACAGACAATTGATCAATATTAATAATTTCGGGATTACATTCAGTTATGTCAGTTCTAGGCTTCTGGTGTCACTGGAATATGGAATTAATTAATATAGCTATAGCATCCATATCAAACATGGCATTCTCACCAGATGTCATGTTATCTCAGATGGCCCCGCCCCTCCCTGAGCCTGGTGCTGCCGCAGGTTTCTTCCTGTTAAAAGGGAGTTTGTCCTTCCCACTGTTCCAAGGTGCTTGCTCATAGGAGGTCATATGATTGTTGGG